GGCGAGGCGGGGAGGGAGGAGAGCAGTGCAAAAAAAGGGGGTGGGGGGGAGGGGAGGAACGACTTAATAGAGAACATCACTTCTCAATGTAGATATCATTTTCAGGAGAGTAACTCCGCCGAGCGAGGCGCTTCATAAATCAATGGCTTTCTATGGAGACTAATAAGAAGTGTCTGCCTCTATTCATTGTTCAGCCTGTAATTTGGCCCATCACTCATTACTCAGCATGTAATTTCGGCATTAACACCACACAGCTCGCCGAACCCGCTCGACGGCACAGAAAGGGGAAAGCGCGGCAAACGTACGCAGGCGCGCGAGGCACGGCGTCACACGAGGAACATTGAGTGCTCTCGCTTCCTCGAGTCCCCACAATACCCTCACCGTCCCGCCCCACCGCCGCCACCACGATCTAAATACGCAACGCAAACACTGTACCTTTGCGCTCCACTTCCGCACAGACCGCCCGGCTACAGTAATTGCCAGCTCGAGCGTGATCAAACGCGGCAATTACGTGTTCAAGCACGGCCGATGCAGGGCGCTAATCGATAGCAAGGATCTAGCGTAGCCCCCCCAGCCGCAAGTACAGTCATATGCAGCTTCATTTTCCCCCAGCTCACCTGAGTAACATACACCGCTGGAAATCTAATTTGGCAGCTCATCATGCGTAGCGAAGGCGACAAAAGGGCCCGCCTCGCCGAGTGGACAAACGCCATCTTCCCCCCCCTAATAAAGGATTGATCTGCCGTATTGATCGTACATGACAAGGCAGTAGCGAGGAATTTGCCCCCCTTTCCTTTGTTATTTCCAGCCTCATTCTTATCCGTGAGTGCATGCACGCGCGCGCGCACACACACACACACGCGTGCACCTGCCCGGGCGTGCGCAAGGCGATTGCGCATACGCGGCCCCGCCAGACCCCGCCGCTCAGTGTGATGTAAATTGTGTATGTGTAAAAAGCACTCCATAATCAGGCCATCCATCATCAGAGGCTGTCAGTGGGCGCTCTCGGGGTGATACATCACGCGCTCTCCTGTCCTCCGCCTCTGCTGGGGCCTGCTCCAGCCGCCAGGCATGCTGGGAACGCAGCCGGAATGGCGCGCGCGCTACGGGACGAGACCTCGGCCGGGAGAGGTTGCTCGGCGTGACGCGCCGTTGCCAATGATAACGATGCCCGGATCGCAGCGGAGAGACTTGCGGAATGGTGTGATTTGGGGGAATAGGATATCCTGAAAGAACGCCTCGAGGCTTAAGTGCTCACGTATGCGAATGAAAACACGCGGCCGCCCGGGTCGCGCACACGGCCGAGCCGGTGCCGGCGTGACGACGCGGCGCTCTCTCTCATCTATCATGGAGATGATCTTTGTAACAACCCCGGCGTAATGAAATTGGTGACACAGACTGCCATCTGCTATTGATTTCATGCAAATGCTTGTGACAGTTGATGGAGACTTGCATTAGCGCTAAACGCCGCTGTCAGTTGATGAGTTGACAGTTTTGTAGTCGCGGCATGTACGCCGGCGCAGACGGACGCGGACAATGTCAATAATCCTGTAAGAGCCGCTGATGATATATACCGAGCACTTATATGCGGCCGCGGAAAAGAAATGCCATACATGCACGTTGGCAGCGTCGCGCCACAGATTTTTTTTTTTTGTCCTCTGTACAAAGATTTTCTTTCATCCTAACTTCCCCCGGAATGATTGTGGGCTTTGCTTTTGAATGCCACACACAGTGACAAGTAGCGCTCTCTCTTCCGTCTTTTCCACCGGAGTTTTTAGATGGTTTTTCCATGCGGGGCTGCGCAGAAATTCGGCAACCGATTTTGTGGAGGGTACGGTTTGGGCCCAGGATGAAATTTGGAGGCGGGTCCAAAAGACATATGCAAATAGCGGAGAAACCGAAGTGTCAACAGATCCTTAAAAAGGCTTACATTCGATTTTCTAAAGTCACGGCCTTAATTGTCCTTTGGCAATTGCACTTAATCCTTCGATGCGCAATTTAAAGTCCGAAAAAATGCCACATTGCACTCTGTGATCAAACGCAACTTGTGGTTTTGAGTTGGAACAACTGTCCAATATAAATGATTGCCATTTATGGCAATTATGTTCATTAGCACAACCAAGCGAGCAAATTGTTTGCTCCTAAACCATTTTCTGAGGTCGTTCTTCCGTCGAGTTTTAATTTGGGAGGACAATACGAGGGACAGCAGTTCTGTCAAGTCTTTTATTTCTTGGTTGTGAAATGCGGGAAAGCCATTTTTTTTCACAACGGCAAAACTTGAAAGAGTTCGCCCGCATCGCCCAACTTTTTACCGGTTTGAATCCTTGAAATGTTGAGTTTGCATAGTTGCTGTTTCAGTCTTTTCTACTTCTTCGGTGTAACCGCTAAAACATAACTGCAGCGTATCTTAAGATATTGCCATTGAGCCCATATCGCCCGCTCCAGTTGGCCGCAGCGAGACGAAAATGAGAGGTCTTCAATTTAGTCCTGGCGGCCTTGAAAATGTCTTTACAAACAAAAAGTCTTCAAGTTGGACATCCTTGAACCCTTTCTTCCAAATGTTGCCACTGAGCCACGCATGAACCTCAATAGCAAAAAAAAAAAAAAATCTGACAAAAGCACAAAGTGGGTATCTATGACTCTGAATGTTTTGTTTGGCCTCGGAGGAGGTCGGCACGCCACTCAGCCAGCGCCATTGAACTTCTCGAAAAGAAAACTATACGTATTGTCATTATTTCGCCATAGGATGACCAAAATGTGTTTTCATAATATGATCAAGGGGCACAGGAGGGTGGGGGGGGGGGGGAGGTTGCGGATGCCGAAGCCCATCCTGCCCCCTTTCCGTGAGGGCTTTCAATCGCCGCATGGAAACATGAAACCCTTTGCAGACATCCCATAAATCCTTCCCTGGGTGGGGAGTCTAGCCAAGGGGAGGGGGGAGGCTGAAGAGGGCAGGGGATAGAGGGGAGCTATGATACGGGTGGTGGCGGTGGTGGATTGTTCAGATGGGGGGGCGGCGAGGGGGTGTGGGGGTGTTTTGCTGGCACGTTCCAGTCACGCCCGCTTCCCGGCCCGCGGCCAATCAATACCACTTTCCTGTTTTAGAGGTGGGTAATTATGAGGTGGAGAGATTGTGTGACCTCTCACCCCTGCTGCATTACTCGGCTGATATTAAGATAAATTGCCTGATTTTGGGTAAACATATGCTGCAATTCAAACTGTCAGCACTGGTTTGCTCAGGGATAATTTGTATTGATCTCCTGGCTTCTTCCCCATTTTGCTTACTGACCTCACGGATAATTAGAGAAAAAGAGACACGGGGAGGTAAGGCAGGACTTGCATTTGAATACTTTGTAGAGCAGATGAAGACCACAGGAAAGCTAAGCGGGTGGGGGCGCATTTTGGGCTAATAGAATTTTCATTTTCTTGCTCATCTTCTGTTCAAATTTAGACAGGTTACACGGTCTGTTCAATTACGTTGCTGGTGTGTTTTCC